TGTTATTTAACAAGCACTGTGCTTTCTAGCATTTAAGTTTCCTGACACCCGTATGAGAAACATCCTAGTACAGGTGAGGAAAGTCAGGCTTAGCGAGGCTCAGTGACTTGCCCAGGGCACAGAGCTGTTAGGTGACTGGGCTGATATTTGAGCCCAGGGGTGCCCAACTCCAAAGACCATTTTCCTGCTTCTCTCACCCTCTGGGTCTTGTGTCCCCTCCCACCCCCACATCCCCTCCCACTGTCTCTGCACCTTAGCTGTCTGTCCTGGCCTGGAGCACCTGTTGCTCAGGAACCTGCTGGGACAAGTCATCTGCCTGGACCTGGACATGCTCCTTCGGATGAATTTTTGGTGTTAGCCCTGCGGCCCCACGCACCAGGGTAAGAGAGACTCTCGCTTCCTGCCCTGGCCCGAGGGACCGACTGGCTGGGCCTGCCTTCTGCCCAGCTCACCGGTCATGGAAGAGAGTTTGGACACATACTCTACTCTACTCTTGCCTGATGAAAAGAGTGTGCAGAGCCCAAGCTGTTCCTCTCACCTTAGAGGAGACTCTAATGACTGATGAGTTAGGATTAGGGTTTTGAAGTGGAAAGCTCTGTTCTGTTTGGCAGCTGCCCCTTTCCCTGGCCAGTTTCTGGTGCATGATAGCCATCAGACGCAGTGAAGAAGAACCAACATGCCCTCATTTTCACAGTCACACTGGTAGAGTCTGAAACATCCATGTGAAAGAGATAGTGTTATATATTTATTTTAAAGTTGTTTTGTTATGCTGGGAATGAAATTTCCTTCCTAAGGAATCATTCTTTCCATGATCTCACAAACTCCCTAAAGCAAATGGTCATTTTTCTTTCCAAAGTGAAAGTGTTTTCCTTTTGAGTTGTCCAACAGCTACCCCGTCAGAATGAGTCTAGCTTTCCTGTATTCTGCCAGGCAGAACCTTCCCTTCCCCAGAACTTCTGTTGTCCACAACACAATGGCAGTGGAGACTTGTGTTCAGGCCTCCAAGGTACTTATGACACCTCCCAGGGACTTGATAGTTCTCAAGCAAACATTCACATTATGTTCAGTGTAGCATAATTGTTAGCCTAGAACCAGTTCATTAGCTGGTAGGTAGTTGTTACTCAGGGTTACCTTAAAGCCTACATTTTAAAAATAGTCACTGTTAAATAAGCTGATTTGATTCAGTCATTTCTATGAAAGGCATTATAAATCTTCAGTAAGTTGGAATTTGGGGGAATTTGGGGAAATAAAGAAATATACCTGTTGAACTCTTTGGGCAAGAGTTTTTCTGGAAATGTGAAATGAGGGCTTGTGGAATAGAAAGTTCAAGTCACCTTTTGCCCTCATATCCTGTGGTCTTCTTGAGTAGCTAGGAGTTTATGATTTCAGAGATGTAATACATGGAGGCTCAGGAGAATACCCATTTTTGTCTAATTGGTTGCTTAGGTCAGGTATCTATGGAAACAACCATCCACTAGTATTCAGGGCAGGAAATTTTTTCTCCCTCTGCATGATTACATGATGATGATGAGAGCAGTGCTCCTCTGTGATGGCTTCCTGCAAGAGGCCCATAGAAATTGGATTTCTTGTGCTTGTGAGAGAAGCAGAAGGTACACATCAACCTTTGGCTTCTCCACATTTCCAGAAACTGACGGTCCTGCCCATCCAGAAACTGACGGTCCTGCACCTCACAATGTGCTCTTTTCAGATGATTTTGCAAGTTTTTAATATTAAAAATGTCTTTCATCAGTGGTTTTATGACCTCAACGGCACATTTATTTTGAAAGCTTTGTTCCTGTGTTATTTTTGTCTTTCTACTCAGGTTTTGCTTCAGCATTAAACATACTGCATTCCTATAATATTGTTTTTGTGTTATTATGAAAATTCTCAGAGACGAGCACTGAAGTCTCTCCAGTGTGACTGTGTGTGTCTCTCCACCCTGGTGGAAGATGACTTCTGGGGCATGGTGAGCTTCCCCGAAAGCTTTGCCTTTTTTTTTTTTTTAATTTACAGAAGAAGCCTGATAACTTGTGCAAAGACTGAGCAGCTTGTCTGCCGTTGATTGAGTTAAAAGTGAGAGAAACGCTTTGTCTTATTATCTTCTTTTCCTCAGTGTCCTAAGAATTGTAATCTGGTGTTCCAACATGTGTTAATGCAAAAAGTGACCTTTAATTCTTTGCATTTGACTCTTTGTATGCTCTGTGTACTCATTCATTCATTCTATTTCAAATAAGTATATGAGCCCTCACTGTTGCTGGCAATGTAAGTAAGGCCCTAGGCTTATCTTCATGACTGAGGCAAGTCAATTTTCTGTCCCAACCGGACTCACTGTCTAGGAGGGAGGACGAGGTCACCAGATGGTTACAGCACAGTGCGGGGTGGTGTTAGTGGGAGAACACAGAGCATGCGTGATCCAGAGAGCGACATGTACCTCAGATTTGGAGATCAGAGAGGCCCTCCTGAGACCTGAAGGGTAAGCAGGTGTTAAAGCTGAGGGACCAGAAAGGGAGAAATGTTTCAAGGAGAAGAAATAGTATTTGAGAGGTACAGGGTACCTGAGATCATTGCAAAAAGAAGATGAAAAACTTGCTTAATTCTCACACTGCCCCCAAAATCATATTTTAAAGAAAGTCCCAGCAATACTTTGCCTTCCTTTTAGCTTTACTAACCGAAAACCAGAGGGCCGATGGAAGTTCTAGGTATGTTTATAAATGTAGGGTAAATCATTCAGCCCTGGAGAAGTCGGCTGGGCATTATCTAAAGTTTGCTGGAGTCTGTTCATTAACATTCCTGTGAATTGTTTGTGGATGCCTCTCTAAGCAAAGAAGCACAGAGGGAAGGTATGTAGACTTCAACGTTTCTCTGAAAAGGGCTGCTCTTGACACAGAGCAGAGGACACTGAGCTGAGGCTTGAAGGAGAATCAAATGCAGAATGTTTATTTCTGGAAGCAGCAGCAGCTCAAGGCCTGGATTATATATCCTGGGTTCTTTTGGGGATATTCCAGGAGTCATCAAAATTCTGAGCTTTTGATCAGTGGTTACCCACATTAGGGCACAAACAGCTGTAGACTCACTCTGACGACTGGTACACACCCACACGGGCCGAGGGGAACCCTGAACCTGAAATCCTGGGGTGTGTACGATTCATCTTGAGCATTGATTATCAGCCTGGTTCTGCTGCCCCCTATGGTGGGTAATGTTTACATGAGACATGAACTCCTGTGATGATGGTTCTTGTCTCCCAAAATACCATGTGGGGAAGTGCAGAGCACCACGATCATTCACACAGTAACTCACCCTTATTTGCAGGGCATATATTCGAAGGATATGTATTCAAGGATAGCACCAATCCCATGTATAATGTGTTTTTCCTTTTACATACGTTCCTGTTATAAAATGTAATTTACTAATTAGGGATAGTCAAAGATTAACAACAATAATAGCAAAATAGAAGAGTTTTTAACAACATGCTGTAATAAAAGTCATGTGAAGGTGGTCTCTCTCTTTCTCTCAAAACATCTTATTGTACATATTTTTGGATCATAGTTGATCACGGGTAACAGAAACCATGGAAGTGAAACCTTGGATAAGGGGGAGCTACTGTAATGCAGACAATGTTAATGGCACTTCATCAGCAGGTCCCTGTTGTCCATGGGCTAAAACAGAGGTTGTCCAAGTAAGAGTCCCAGACAGCAGCCTCAGCATTCCCTGGTGCTTGTTAGAGATGCAGATTCAGATACTCATGGGTCAGGCCCAGCCATTTGTGTTGTAACAGAATCTATAGAAGTTCTGATGCTCACTGAAGTTTGAGAACCACTGGGGTAATTAAGGCAGGTGACAGTTAATGAGAAAATCCATGTAGGATCCCAGTTATGGAGTGAGGTGTCAGTATGGGGACAGCCATGACTTTGCGCAGGTTTATTAAAATATGTGAAGTTTGTTAATGGTGTCACTTTAAATGTTGTTTATTAGTAATATGATACATAGGTGTATATATCCAGGACAAATATTTTTTGAAATAATATGCTATACTTTCTGTGATGTCCTCTTGATAGTATACTGGTCACATCCATTCACTTGGTCTCATAATCCATTAATGAAATATGTCCTGTGGCTTGAAGGTGCAGTGAGCTGTCCTCACAGCCTCCCTCTCTAGGGGCGTCGTGGGTCTGGCCTCACTTCTGTCAGGTAGACTTGGTGTTAGCTTTCAGTCTCTGTCCTGCCATGTTCAACTGGGTGACCTTGGCCCATTCACCTATGTGCTCTGAGTTTTACTTTCCTCATTTGTCAATGTGAGGGATAATATCTCCTTCACAGAGTGTGGTATCAAGCAAGTGACCACACATCTCACAGTGCTGACTGCGGTAGCTACCTCATGTGTGGAGACAGTATGGTCAGTACTCTTACAGAACATCATCAGTCAAATACATTTTTTTTTTTTTTGTGGGACCCTTGCCGGCGGCCGGGGAATGAACTGGTGCTGCAGAGGCTGCAGGCAGCCACGCAGCCCAGCGCTCAACCGCTGCGCCACCAGGGGAGGCCCTCAAATACATTTTTGAGGTGACCACCACAAAGCAGCATATCACAGAAATTCTCCCATAGCACAATAAATATTTTGGAAATAATTTTGTCTGAAAAATGCATCCAAATTCTGCACCCTTTTCTGAAATACAGTCAAGTGTATTTGGTGTAAAATATAACCTCACTTCCACCCCACCCAGGTCCTTGCAGACACTGAGATTGCAGAAGATGCACAGCCCCGGCAGGGGTACTTGGGAAGCACAGAGCTTCTGATTATGTTTCTGTGGAAGATGCTTGTTAGGGTTTCCTTGTCTATTCCTCCCCATTGGTGGCTAGGGCCAACACCTTCCTGTTTACAGCTCTGTAAACTGGCATCTCACCCAGCACCCTCGGGCAGTAAGTATGTGGAAGTACAGGGGCAGGTCACCCACAAACTGGATGTTGGGGAGACCCAGTAACGTCCACTTGTCTTTCTGGAGGTCATGATCGTGGTCGGTGGGCAGGCTCCCAAGGCGATCCGCAGCGTTGAGTGCTATGATTTCGAGGAGGACCGGTGGGACCAGATTGCTGAGCTTCCCTCCAGGAGATGCAGAGCAGGTGAGCAGCGCAACCTCCTGTCGCAGCCTGCCTGGCCCGGCTGGTCTCTGCTAGGGGTGGAAATCCACACGTCTCCTGTTTCCTCACACGTCTGTGCACTACAGACTCCTTTCCCCATCCTTCCCCAACTGCCCCCTTCTGGAGTCACTTCTTATGTACTTAGGGAATTCACACTAATCCAAGTGTTTGCTTGAATCCAACAAAAAGTAGAGAAGCAAATATGAAAAGAAATCCAATGAGTCTCTCGGTGACCTCCAAATATCTAAAATTGGAGAGCACCTTCCATGGGAAATTACACTCCCGCCTTAGTCCTCCACTGCCACCCATCAACACATCTTGCATGAAGTGACCCCGGTACCTTGGTTTCCTGTGCCTCAGGCGTGGTGTTCATGGCTGGCCACGTGTATGCCGTGGGCGGGTTTAACGGCTCTCTGCGAGTGCGGACTGTGGATGTGTACGACGGTGTGAAGGACCAGTGGACGTCCATTGCCAGCATGCAGGAGCGCAGGAGCACACTGGGTGCAGCCGTCCTCAATGACCTGCTCTACGCCGTGGGGGGATTTGATGGCAGCACTGGTAGGTCCTAGACACTTCCCTGTCCCTGTATGACGCGCCTTCCGTACACCTCTGACTTGCGCAGCCGGTTCTTGAGCATAGCTTCTGGCCTTCATTGCTGTGCCTCACGCCTCACCGGCTTGGTTTCAGAGCCAGGCCAACCTACACACAGAATGTCTAACTGCCATGTGTGATCATTTCTAGGCCTCTCGGGAGGACCTCAGTCTCAGGAGAGGCTCTTCTCTTCTTCCCAGCGTCTGGGAGCCCAATAACTTAGACAAAGAGCATGTTTAGTTCAGGGTACCCAAAGCTGTGGTCCGAGTCCTCTACTGGACACACGAGGGAGGTGAAGTTGGACTGTAGCAAGCGCCCTGGCACTGGCCACAGATTTTGTCCCTTGCCTCTCTACTGGCCCCCTGAAGCTTAGCATGGCAATGCCAGGCAGTGTTGCTCCCTGGTGCCTGTTTTTTACCTACGCAAAGCTGGATCTATAAACTATTAGTGGACATGGACTTGGAGAAATTATGTCATTTCTCATATCACTGAGACTCTATAGACAGTGACTCTATAGACAGTGACTCTGTTAAACCAAAATGATGCCCTTTGGCCCCTGGGGACACATGGAAAGTAATATTTTTTAATATTTCTGAATTTCCATTTGTGTCTTCCCAACTGGTGACCTTTTCCAGCCTTCTCTTTGCCTTACTCACATAATTCTAGGGTCTTTGGCCCCTTCAGAGGCTGCTTCTCGAGAGCAGTATCTAGGAATAGATAGCAGTATCTCACTTTCAGTAGAGAATCTGACTAAACTGTAGCTTAAACAAGCAAGAGATTTTGTTTTACTCATGAAACAAGATGGCCAGAGATTATCAATTGCTGACTTGGTCTATTTAAGGATTTGGGGGCCACGTTCTTTAAGGGTTTGTTGGCCTTATCCACCTGATCACAAGATAGCACTAGCCCACACATTTGTGTTGCAGGGAGCAAATGAGCTTGGACTTGAAGTAGCACCATATCAGGAAAGCAAAGGCTTTTCAGAAATCTCCGAATCAGCCTACTGCTTAGGCCTCATTGACTGATCATACCTTGGGAGGCTGGGCGGGCACGTTGTCAGCTTTCTGACTTCTGAGATAGGCAAAAACAAGGGGCCAGAGTTTACTGTAGGTGTTCAGTGAAGCAGACTCGGGCATTTATTCCATTCTGTAGGAATAATGATTTATGTTTGCAGGGTACTGCAGTTACATCCCCTATCTTGTCAGCCCGCCCTTTGGGTCAGGTCTTAGTGGCCCCTAGGTAGACACATTGCAGACGTGCTGCAGACAGGTGCCACCATGCATGGTGAGGCAGAGGTGGTGCTGAGCCAGCACCCGGGTTTCTGGATCCCAGATCTGTGTTCTTCCCCTATCATCACTGTTGCTCGGCACAGCAGGGTTAGGTCTGATTCCTGCAAATCACGAATCTCTTGTCTCCCAGGCCTAGCGTCGGTGGAAGCCTACAGCTACAAGACCAACGAGTGGTTCTTTGTGGCCCCGATGAACACACGGCGGAGCAGTGTGGGTGTGGGCGTCGTGGAGGGTAAGGAGCAGCAGCAGGTGGTGTTCTGTCCCTGCCCTGGCCCACGGGCTTTGTCCTGGCTCTATTCCTCATGTCACTGCTCCGAGTCATGCATTAGTATCTTGACTTAACAGATAAATGTAGTTGAAACTCAGAGGTGAAGCTACTAGGCCAAGGCTAATAAAGTGGCCAGCTAGGTTGGGTGGGAGTAGAAGAGCCTGGAGGGGAAATGCCCGCCTTTCGCTTTGGTGACTTATCAATAGCTCTACTGCAGGAGAGAGGAGAGAAGAGTGGGCATTTGAGAGCCAGTATACATTCATGCACCGCATAGAACATTTCAGCCGATGATGCACTGCGCTTCTGACAGTGTTCCCTACATACAGCCTAGGTGTGTGCTCCACCATCGAGGTTGTGTGAGTCCTCGCTGACATCTGTACAATGACAGAATCTCCTAAGAATCTTATTTCTCAGAATATATCCCCACTATTAAGCCACACATGACTATATAGCCGAGGAGCATGGTGTGGACAGGGTGAGTTAATTGTGCTTAATTAATTTTGTCTTCATGCTTTTATGTCCAACACTAAGAGAGTCGAGAGAGGTGGGCCCCTCTTCTGTTACAAACACTGCAGGGCAAGTTGTACTTAAGTCTTGCTCTAGCTGGGAGGGTGTGGCTGAGATGGGAGGGAGTGGAGAGGTCTGTTGTTTGTAAAGCCTTCACATCCAGTTTCTCATTTTGTCCCTAAAACCTTTCTGAAGGACATAGGCAGGACTTAGATTTTTTTTCCAGTCCCCATTTGGGGAAACAGAGTCCCAGAGGGTTAAGTGATATTCCCGTTAGTAAATAGCACAAGTCCTTGAACCCAGGTCTTCTGATTCCTAACTCAGTGCCCTTTCTACTGTGCTATACCCCTTCAGACAATTCGCAAGGGCTATTAGGCAGGAATTTTATAAATATGTGTGAATTCAGTGTATTAAAACATAGACTATTAGTTGACCTAAAATGTTATACTTAGCAGGACAATACTGATTCATTAACCTGTCCCTAAGTGGGGATTTAGCTGGGATAGCCGTATATTCAGACCTGTCTGTGGACGTTCTCTGTCTCTCACCTGCACACACACGGTCACAGACGCATGCTTTGGGAGACTGTAACGTGCAGTGAGTTAGACGTTTCTCAGTCGCTGCATTTCTGTGTGGGTACCAGTATGTAGAGATTAAATTTTCATTTAAAGTATATTGTTCTAAAATACTGAAAAAGCCATCTAGTGTGCAAGGATTTTGTCCTCCTACCAAGATCAATTGTGTCTTGTCATCACATCTTCATGGTGGAACAGAAATTGATTTTTCTGCCAAATGTAAGTGCTTTGTCTCGCCACCTTCCCATTCTCCCCCTTGTTCCTTAGCCAAGAATATCAAACAATAGAATAGGGGTTAAAAATAGCAACCCCCTGTTAATAGACTCAAGGAGAAACCCTGAGTGGGTCTTTTTTCAGCTGAATCAGGGTTGGAATGGCTAATGGAGTTAGACAGGCTTCTTTGTGGTAGTAATTTAAGTACACCCTTTGGGGAAGGCCTGTGTGAGCGTTGTGTGTGAGAGGCAGTGCTGTTCTGTTGCATGCCCAGTGAACAGACTGGGAATTCTCTTGTTCATCCTGAATTTGAAACACTTTTGGCTGTGGGTCATCCTGGGGCAGCAGAGAGTTCAATTTATAGCTTTTGTGAGAATGTCAGAGGTAAACTCTGCTTCACTGTGGGCTCTACTCTCCTCCATCTCACTGTCTCTTTTCTGTGGCTCTGGAGTCTGGATGATGTTGGAGGTGGGAGGAGCACATAATCAGGATCATTTGCTGCTGGAGGCCTGGGAGAATCCCTCCTTAGGAAAAGGGACAGTGAAGAGACACTTTTAGGCAGAAGCTCCTGACGGATTGGAAATCAGGTGTTAGAAGAATAAGGCTTTGAGTCTGCTGGGTTCACCCTAGAGAACTTCTTGTCTTTTCCACATCCTGGGCCTTTTTCCTCCCCGAGGAGCTATGACAAGTAGTGGACAGCTGGAGGGTAGGTGGCTGCATCCAAGTTAGAGCACATGGTGAGTGTGGCCTGGACCCTGACAGCTGCTGAGTCACATGTTTTCCATCTGACTTAGGTGGGGACAGAACCAGGGAGGAGGTGTCCCTGTCTTTTAGAAGGTCTTGAGAGGACCGTGAGGCAGAAAACAAAATGAGGTTTCATGATGAGAGAAGACATAATTTTACATATGATACGGAAATAGTTCTGATTGTAGAATGTAGTTTTGAGTGGGAATCTTTCTCTAAGTTAAAATAGTTGCTGATTTTTTTTTAAAGATTTATTTATTTTTATGCAAGAACTGGGGTACAGGCCAGATGCACGGGAGGGTGAGAGGATTCACCGGAAACAGAGCGAGGAACAGAACAGGCAGACTGATGAAATACACTGCTGAGGGGAGCAGCGGGCGAGACAGGAGAGGTCTGCTTCGCCATGTGGGATTCTCGCCGGCCAGCCAGGATCAAACCTGCACTGCAGAGGCTGCGGACAGCCTCCCTGCGCCACCAGGGAGGCCCAAAATAGTTGCTGATTTTAATATACAGGCTGTACTCTTGGCATCTCTTCATGAGGAAAGCACATAATGACAAAAAATTTCTCATTAAATAATATTTTTAAGTGGATTTGAATTTGGGGTGTTTATATGCATTATTCAGCTAATGTTTAAGATTCTTGTTATAACTGCATGGTCCCCCAAAAGACTACACCCTGCAAAGCAGGTGAGATAGGACTCCTCCTCCCATCCCCCCCCACATTCATCCTCTCTCCCCACCCCACGTATTCTAAGATGATGTTAGACTCAGAACATTTGAATCTCTGCACTTGGAGAGCTCAAATACCAATTTCCAGCCCTTTTGCCTAACCTAGTGCTTAGCCCCAGGCAGAAATGATGCACCTGGAGAAGAGCTTATAGTATTTGTATTTTTAAAATAGGTGATGGTGCTTCAGAGCTCTTGTGCATAGCTCAGAGATTACAAGGGAATCTGCAGATAAAGTCCAGCCCCCACCTCCCATCCCCCCGTACACGCACAGGGCTCCACCACTGCCAGAGTTGTGAACTGGGTACAAACCATGGCAAAGACAGGGTTGGGTTTCTTGTTGAAAAATAATTTTTCATATTTATTCTGCTTGCTGTTAAGAGTCTTTAGCCAGAAAGTCAGTCTGCCTGCCTCTAGCTGGCACCTCTAGCTTTTCAGCTCTCCAGTGCCTCCTTCTGAAGAAGAGCTAATGTAGTTCACTAGCAACAGTGCACTGGACCCCTAAGGCACCAAATACCCAGCTTCCTGCTGGATATTTGGGGAGCTTATCTACAAAGAGATTCCATGTGCTGCTTCTTAGTATCTTATGGCTTAAGAGGAAGCAAGCAGAGATGTGCAGGGTGCTTGGCCTGGCTAGTGAGTTTTTGGTCCCCTGGAGGAAATATCCTGAACACTGATGGAGGTGAGGATGCTCTAGTGTGTTAAAGATGGGGTTTTGGCCTGCTCTGTTTCCTTGCCAGTGTAGCTGGCACCACCCCTTACCTACTTACTTTTTCTGTTCCAGGGAAGCTATATGCTGTTGGGGGTTATGATGGGGCTTCCCGCCAGTGCCTGAGCACCGTGGAGCAGTACAACCCAGCAACCAACGAGTGGACATATGTGGCGGATATGAGCACTCGTCGCAGTGGCGCAGGTATGGGGTTGCGTGGGAGCCTTGGAGCAGGCTCACTCTGATCTGCTCATAGGTGGATCTTGAGACCAACAACTTGACATTCAGCCTTCTTTTACCTCCCTTTTCTTTCCTTTTAATGTATATAAGTACCTTTGAAGTTCAACACAAACACAGATAATGAACCTTTCCTGGGGAGTCACTTTGCTAGAGAAGAGATGAGATAGGATTCTCTACATCATCCATCCTTCTGTTTCTTGGAATTGAAATCTTGCCTCGTACAAGCTGCTATCCTATATACACTTTCTGTGCCTCAATTTATTTAATCTTCACCGGAGCCTTAAAAATGTAGATACAGTGTTAATTCCACTTAACAGACTTAGAATGTAAGTGGATCAGGGTTTTGAATAATTTGTTCCATATCATTAGTAACTGATAGAGTCAGGATTCCTATTCAGATCTGTCTCCAAAGTTAGCTTTTTTGACCCTCAAATTTTTTATCGTAGTCTTCTGAAGTAGTGCCATAAGCGTGGTGCCCGTCTTCAGTGGGCAAAGCTCACCTATCTAGAGTCTCTGTCTTGAAATTCATACTATTAGTAGTGTTCCTTTTTGGGGAAAACTTAGGTCTGTTTACCCCCCTCCCCCACAAGGGAAATGAATGACTTCCCAAACATGACCCACTTCCGCTTCCTGTGGGAAGACTAGAGCTTGTGCAGTCCTTGGGGATTTTGCAGGAAGTGGAGCAAACCCCCTTCTTCCCTGCTTTGTCTTCTGCCATCATCTTAGCAGCCCAGAGGAAAGGGTCTGCGAGGATAGGCGGGCACAGGACGCTGACTCTGTCCTGGTTCCTGTGGGGAGTGGTGACTGATAACCAACCTGGGGCTGGCAGGAAGACTGCAAAACTTCTGGGAAGGCAAGCCACAACCCCACCACCAATATTGTTCTCTCAGTCAGTCTGCCTGTCTGTCTGTATTTTGGAAGGTTAAGCTGTGATCTCATTTTATAGTAACAAACATAGAATCACTTCCTCAGAATTCTTAAAAATTTATGATATTTTAATATTTTTCAGGAATACTAGTGTGCTCATGGATTAGAAAAAGCCGTATGAATTCCATTTAAGAAGGATTTGAGTTTGGAATGCTTCTTTTAGGGAGCTTGTCTCTGCCAGTCCTGACCAAGTGAACGTGGAGCAAATGTCTGGAAGTCAGGAGACCTGAGTTTTAGTGCTGGGTCTGCTTAGACTTTCCATGTGATCTTGGGCAAACCCTTCCTTCTCTGGCCTCTGATTCCTCAGATGTGAAAATTGGGTGCTGGGAACCAGTTCAGTTCATAAATCCAGAGGTTCTTCTCCTTTTATAAAGCTCTTTGGTTTATAAAGTCTGATAGAATCTTCATTTTACTTCCTGGAAATCCTCTGTCTGAGTGGAGGTGGGAGAACATCTTCAGGGCCTGAGGATGTAGGGACAGCTCAGCCTGGGTCGGGTAGCAGACACTGAGCTGTGTTGCTTCTTCTAGAAACATCTCAAGCAGGAAGTGTGGAGGAGCAGCCTCATGTGGAGCCACAGGACAGACCTGCCTTAGAAAGTTCAAGCTGATTTTGTGTTTGGAGTTGCCATTGGTGGCCACACTACTTTCTCTCTACCATGCTGCCCAGGGGTTATTACTGATCAGAGATCACTGGCCCGCTCCTGCCTCACTCCTGGACTGGAAGCATGGACAGTAACAACTCCACTGCCTTTGTCCTTGGGAGACCCTGTGACTTCGGTTTAGGTAGTAGTCTCTCTCTCAGAGGTAGGGTCTTTCATGACGTTATTGTCAGGTTGGGTCTCTGGCTCAGAGGTCAGCCTTCCTTTACAGCTTTACTTCCCTAAGATTTGGGGACACCTCACCTCGAGTTGGGAGCTCACATTGTTGTGGTGGTGTTTTCCTATGTCTAAAGACCTGGATACCCAGGCCTCTGGCTTCTTGAAGTATCATTGAGGTTTCAGGAGCCCCTCTGGCGCTAGGCCCAGGAAACTATGGACAAGTTGTAATAGGTTAGTGGTACCCTGAGTACCGGGCAGCTACTTGCTTCTTTAGAGGGTGTAGACAACACCAGGGGATAGCTGTCGTGGTAAGAGGCCTTCTCTGGGTCTCAGGATGGGCTGGTAACTGCTGTACAGGGAAACACCTTTGTTTTTTGTTTTTTTGTTTTTAATTTTTTTTTAAGATTTATTTATGCATACAAGAACTGGGGTACGAGAACTGTGGGGGAGCGGTGAGAGGATTCACCAGAGACAGAGTGGGGAACAGAACAGGCAGACTGACTGAAATACTGCTGAGGGAAGCAGCACGCAAGACAGGAGAGGTCTGCTGCGCCATGTGGGTTGCTTCCTGGCCAGTCAGGGATCGAACTTGTGCTGCAGAGGCTGCAATAACTTCATAGGTTGCATCTTTTTTTTTTTTTAAATTTTTTTTTACATCATTCATTGCTCATTTTTAAATAATATTTGCTTCCCTCCACCCCCTCAGGTGTAGTCCCCATAGAGTTTTCTTCCCCAATGCACCCCTGTACCATCACCTCAGTCCCCTGTGCGCCTCCCTCCCTCCCTCTGATCCCTCTCCCTCCTCCTCCCCTGCAGGATGTCTCCGATTTATAATTGTGTTTTTGCTTTGTTGTGTTTTGTATTGTTATTATTTTTTTACACTGATGTCTTATTTGATTCCCTATATTCCTGCTATAAGTGAAACCATCTGATATTTTTCTTTTTCCTTCTGGCTTATTTCACTGAGCATAATTCCTTCTAGTTCCATGCACGTTGTGTCTTAACCCCTTGCGCGGCTAGGGAGACCCAGGGGGGAGGCACCTTTGGACACAACTGAATTTTATTAAAACCCAGGCTTTTGATTGTTATTATTGATACACCACCACCACCTGCTGTTCATTTGTGGCAACTGCAAGGAACTACTGGCACCTCAGCATGACTTTAAATATTTTGTCATTCAAATGACTTTTCTTTTCTTTTTTTTTTTTTAAGAAAAAGATTTATTTATTTATGCATACAAGAACTGGGGTACAGGCCAGAGGTGCGGGGTGGGGGATGAGAGGATTCACCAGAGACAGAGTAGGGAACAGGCAGAGTGACGAAATACACTGCTGAAGGGAGCTCGGGCGAGGCAGGAGAGGTCCGCTGTGCCATGTGGGTAGGTCCCTGGCCGGCTGGGGATTGAACTCGTGTTGCAGAGTCTGCAGATAGCTTTACAGTGCTGTGCTTAACCTCTTGTGCCACCAGGGAGGCCCCAAATGACTTTTCTTAAGAATCTACTACTGTCAAACACAGGGAAATAGAGGTGGGTAAGGCAAACATGGTCCTGGTCATAGGAAGCTGATATTCTTGAAATTGAGTCCTTGTGTCTGAAACCTGACCGCCCATCCCAATCACCTGAAGTCCTTTAGTGTTCCTTGGAGGGTGGCCCCGAACCTGTCTTCAAAATGTGTCCCAGCTGAAGGAGAAGTAGCCTGTCTTCACAGTGGCATAGCCTGTGGCCCATTGGAACTGCTGATCCAGCTCCCTCACTTCACAAATGGGAAAACTGAGACCTGGAAAGGGGAAAGTTCTCTGCCTGGAAAGTTACAGACATAGGCCCAAAACCCAGGTATCCTGGCCTCCAGTCGGTTGCTCTTTTAGGAACACTGCCATTCTCCTTTCTGGCTTTTTCTTCCTTGACTTGCATTAAGGGATATTAAAAGGTTTCACTAAAACTTGAATATGATGCAGTTTGAGCTCTCTGCCCAGGCCTTCAACATGGCGACTGTGCTCCAGTGGCACAAGGTGAGCGAGAGCTGCTTTCAGCTCCCGCTGTGATCTCAGCCTACCTCCTGTGGAGCATTTCCATTTCTAACTCTTCACTCAACTAATGTAAGGCTGAGAAACAAAAGAATCAAAACACTGTAGGCAAACCAGGCAATATACATAGGCAAAGGAGAACAAATGACTAATCTTAAGGTTTGTGTAGCATTTTTTTCAGTCTTTTTTTTTTTTCTCTTTGCATATGAACCTCTTGCCAATTTTATACCCATGTACAAATTAAATATGTCGTGGTGGGTGATATATATAATATATAAATATATAATATACAATGATATATAGCATTCACAGATTATATATGTGTATGTGTGTATTTTTCTGTTTCTTTACATAGAAATGGGGTCATATTATAGAAATGCTTTTTATCTCGAAACTTTCAGGTTGACAGTCTTAAGAGACATGTGAGGGCCATTGTATTTGTCCTACAGATGAGGACACTGAGGTTCAGGGAGATAAAGCACTCTCAAGTCACCCTGTTGGTGATGCCTGTCTAGGACAGGATGCCAGAATGCCCAGCTTCTGGTCACGGTAGCCAGGCCCAGGCTAGAACGCTGTGCTCTGCCTTTCAGGGGTTGGGGTTCTCAGCGGACAGCTGTATGCCACTGGTGGACATGATGGGCCCTTGGTGAGGAAGAGCGTTGAGGTTTACGATCCTGGAACAAACACTTGGAAGCAGGTGGCAGACATGAACATGTGCCGACGCAATGCAGGTAATAAGACTGCTCTCTCCTTTCCCCCTGGGGGCTGGGGGTCTTTTCTCTGTGTAAATACTAGCTGTCATTGAGAAGAGTGACTCCCAGAGTCTGAGCACGTGCCTAGGTACTGAATAGGGAGTGTCTGCTTGCTGCATAGACTCTGGGCTGGGGAGGAGGAAGGGGGAATAGGTGGGGGAAGGGGGGGATGGGGTCGGGGGGGGGTTGGAACACCAAAAGCTAGCAACAGGGTCCCCCACTCAGATGTAGAGGGCCCCTTCCCTCCCAGTGAATGATGGTGACTTTCCCTGCACACATATGGACGCAGACTCAGAAAAGCCATCAGCGGCTCCTACCCAAAGACTCTGCCCAAAGATTCTGGCGGGTAAGGCACAGGGCTGTGAGGATGTGATCAGGCCATGACACTAGGCTCTACCTTCCAGCACCTGGCTATGAGACCCACCATTTTCTACTTGAAACCAGTTGTCTTCCTCTCAGGGATAGCCAGGCCCCTGATTGATTATCTCTTGTTGCCTTCTCTGAGTGTCCTTTCTCCCCTTCCCTTTCTGTAGGGATGATTTTACCTTAGAAATAGTTAGTTTTTGGGCCTTCCTGGTGGCATAAGGGGTTAAGATGCAGTCTATGAAGCAGTCTGCAACCTCTGCAGCATGAGTTCAATTCCTGGCCAGCCAGGGAGCTACCCAAATAGCGCAGCAGACCTCTCCTGACTCACCTGCTGCTCCCCTCAGCAGTGTATTTCATTCAGTCTGCCTGTTCTGCTCCCCACTCTCTCTCTGGTGAATCCTCTCACCCCCCACACCTCTGGCCTGCACCCCAGCTCTTGTATGCATAAATAAATCTTAAAAAAAAAAAGAAATAGTTTTTTATTTCCTGGAACCTGATGCCCCTATAAGCTATTTTCTTCCAGAACTCTGCCCTCTATTTTGTGTCCTATGTTAGTATAGCTTGGCTTATGCCTCCTGGTTCTACGAGAGTGTTGGCTTAGTCCAGCTTCATGGCTGGTAAGACAAACGGTTATCTCCAGGCATATTTAATTCCTTAATAGTTATATTGCCTGTTTGTTAAACCCATCTGTAGCTGACTTGTTAGAAGTGTAAATAGAGGGCCATTTATCAATTGACAGCCAGTCTATCTAGAGTCCAGGAATTCAGTTTAGATGTTAATGTGGTATATACACATTCGCATAAAGATCTTTTTTTTAATAATAAAAAGGCATCATGCCATAATGCCATTTCATAGCCAGACTTTTAAATCCACTTTACAATCTTTCACAAATATAACATTAAATGTTTTTGCCTGTTATGTTATATGGCTGTATCACATTTTAAATAATCTGTATTGGACCTTTAGGTTATTTCCATCTTTTCTACAAGTAATGCATTGATCATTGTAAATGGGCCTTATAGCTAATCAGTGCACAGATCTAAAATATTTCTTTAGAAGAAAAAGACAGAGGGCCTCCCTGGTGGCGCAGTGGTTGAGCGCTGGGTTGCGAAGTTGCCCGCAGCCTCTGCAGCGCCATTTCAATCCCTGGCCGCAGGGCGAGGGTCCCACATGGCGAGCAGACCTCTCCTGCCACCCGCTGCTCCCCTCAGCAGTGTACTTCTTCAGTCTGCCTGCTCTGCTCCCTGCTCTGGCTCTGGTGAATTCTCTCACCCTCCCGAGCTTCTGACTGTACCCAGTACTTGTACAAATAAATAAATAAATAAATAAATCTTTAAAAAAAAAAAAAAAGAAGAAGAAGACGAAAAAGCCAGAGTGGAATTTCTGAGCCTGAGGGGGCACATGTGCTTTAGACATCATCCAGGAAGGTGGTGCATTTTATCTGCTCACCAATATTTGAGAGTATTTTCACCAACACTGATAGTTCATAAGTTTTTGGAACCTCGTCCATCCCTTGATCTAATTTAGAAAAAACACACAGTATATTAGACTATGGCCTTTTAATGTCTTGATGGAGCAGTATCACATTACATTTGCCTACTCTTGAGTCCTGGCCCATGAGACTTTACCCTAAATCAGCTCACTCTGAGAGCTGGGAGGTAGGAGTGCCTCATCCATGTCTCTGGGAACTGTGGGTTTAGACCCCAGTCATGTAAGGGACCACAAATAACCATTAGCTCCACAGTATGGATATAAGAGGCTTCTCAAGGAAAGCCTTACATGCAAAGTAGTAGCAGCCCCTGAATTGCCTTATTGGTAGTCAGACCGGGCATGGAGGTCTGGGTGGACATTGCTCCCCTACAAAGGGGGCCCTACCCAAGGTGCTCTGACATTTATAAGTTTGGGGGCAGGGAACATCCATGTGCCCAAATAGTAGTGCGTGCAGAGTGGCCAGAGAAGTGACCTAGAATAGGGTTTCCTGGGATCCCAGTGGCTGTTATCAGTAAGTTCTTCTGTTGAGTAAAAAACCTGTGGAGCCAGTTCTTGGTTTTGCAACCAGAGAGGGGAGGAAGAGAACCCCAAGCACTCTCCATATTTCTCTCATGGATTCAATCCTTGGTGCTCCTGCTATAATATCTCCTATGACTCCTGTTTGCTTCCAGGGGTCTGTGCTGTGAATGGGCTGCTGTATGTGGTTGGAGGGGATGATGGGTCCTGCAACCTGGCTTCAGTCGAGTACTACAATCCTGTCACGGACAAATGGACGCTGCTGCCAACCAACATGAGCACAGGGCGGAGCTATGCAGGTCTGTGGGCACCGTCCCCACCCTGTCCCCCACCCCCAAGCTGGGGGCCCCCTGGGCAGGGTGGGCGTGAGTGTGCTTAACTTGGGACTGAGTGCCTCCTCCAGGGATGGCAGATAATTGTCACATGTCACCACTCCTTCATTCTGTGCCCACGACAGATACCCATAATTAGCACTTGTTTTCCCAGTGAACCTGCATGTAACCTTAGAATTCTTCTTAACACAGTGTTCCAAGAAGCTACACCCAACTCATCTGCGTTGTCATGAGAGTATTTAGAATTTCTTTGCCATTTCTGGTTGGTTTTGTGCTAATGTCCTAGGTGGAATAAGATACAATTCTTGCTTTCCAAAAATTTAATTGCAAAGGCAAGACCTGTATACATAAAATAGGAAATGCAAGATGATGTACACACAAGTCCTAAATGGGATGCACGGTACAGACTTTAGGACGTGACAGGTGCGAACTGGCAGTTGTGGGAGAGAGCACTTCCTGGAGGCGACGGGGCTTGTTTAAACTTGGAGTGGGTCACAGAAGCTGTTCTGTGCTGGGTGCCCCTCCCCGAGCCACCACTCAATGTCTTAGCCAGTGTGACATTTGTTCATGTCTTTTCAAGAACCCCTGCTTGAGTGGGCCTGTATCCTGCCATTTTACTGAAGATGAAGCTGAGGTTTGCAGAATTTAATTAACCTGCCAAGGCCACACAGCTAAAAATGGCAAAGGCAGGATTCAAACCCAAACAGGATTCAAACCTGAGCCCCTGCCCAAGCAGGTCAGGGTTGAAGGACAAGGCATTCCAAGTCAGAGGCTGAATGGAGGAGTAAGGCAGGAGGCTATTGTAGGAACTTATTCTTGGGGAGTATGTGTAATGGGTTTGGTGAGATGTGGGTGGCAGAATCAGAGCCGGTGCAGCTGAGGCCAAGAGTCTATAGGGAGACAGGCAAACACATGTCCATGCTGTAGCCCAGAACCTGGGTCTAGCTTTGCAGAAAATGGAATAGCCAGAGCAAACATTTATTTATTGAGCATATATAATGTGCCAGGCACTGTTCTAAACGTTTTACAACCATTATCTTATATAATGAGATACCACTCCAGTTATATTCTTATTGTTATTTTGCATTAGAAAGGCCAATCATTTCCTCTTGCTTAGATTTCAGTGCAGAGAAAGATCATGCTGTGTAGCTCAAAGGGGTTTGTGTCACATTCTGTCAACACAAGACTTCAATTGCAATGAACTTATTTCACTCCCCCCCTCAAGCACCATTTAGGACTTTTTTTTCCCAACTGAATGTGAAAGATCTTATAGGCATGTTGGTCCTAGAGTATTCTTTTCTCATGGTTAATTATTAACCATGCACTGTCAAGCAAACATGCAATTTGTGTTCAAGCTCATTGACTGAGTAAATTTACTGTCTGAGAATCTAAGGGAATGGCCTGAATTGCAAAGATTTATGGACACATTTATGGAAACATTACTCATAATAGCAAAAGACTGAGTTCTTCTTACTATCTGGCATGAGGGAAATAGTTATACTGTGGAATATCTATACAGTGGAAATATTTTTAACGTCATGAGAAAATGGTTGTTGGCACACACTGTCACATACAAGCACTGTTAGGTTAAAAAGGAGGGTGAAAAATGTATGATCCCATATGAACTCAGCCATATTGTCCTGGGTCATGGAGGGTTGAATAGCTACTGCTTACGGAAGCAGATGGAGTCAGATCTGAATTTGTTGGTCCTGGGGTGCTGGGCAAGGCAATCAATTTGACTGAACCCCTGTTTTCTCATTTGTAAAATGAAAATAAAATTACACCCAGCTTCTTAGGGCTGTTTGAGAATTAAATGTTATAATATGTGGGGAGCATTTAGTACCATGGCTGCCTGGCATATAAAAGCCCTTATTATTAGAAGCCAGGAAATATCCCAAAAAGATAATGGTGGTTCTCTTTGTATGAAGGCATTAAAGTTTTTTTCCTTCGTGTTCTTCTGTATTTTCCAAATTGTCCATGAAGAAAATACAATACTTTATTATTATACTAAAAGAGAAGATTTTAAGGTCAGACAGCATATCTGGGTCTGAGGACTCTGGTTCTGTACCTTTATCCAGGAATTAGCATGAGATGGATGTCTTAGCAGAATCTCACCATTGGAGTATTCTGGGGTTGCTTCTAATAATATTCTCTTGTTCTCATCTTCAGCCAGAATTTTTATAGCCATGGGAATATATTAAAATAAGATTCCAGTCATATTTTACCTCTAACCTGCAGTCCTTACCTATAAGGTAGGATTTTGTTCAGCCACAAGCATCAGAAAAACTGAGTTACTTGCTTAAGGAAGGAGTGTATTTGTCTCAGGCAGAAAGAAGTCCTGGTGGCTCAGACTGTCACTGAGGATCCAGGCTTCTCCTCTCTTTTTGTTCTGCCGGCTTTGCCTACAGCAGCTGCTGTCCTTTGGGCCTTGCACGAGCATTTCAGGCAGGACAAAGGACAAAGCCGACATTGCAGTCTTGGATTCCCGATTGTGCTGGCCAGGATTAGGTCACTTGCTCTTCCAGCTACAGGCATTCTAGGGAGCTGAGCTCATCAAATGCTGGTTTCTAGTAGAAGGGATGTTAAGTCAACCTACAGTACCTGCTTGAGGGCCTCAGTCTATTACAGCAAGATTTTAGGGTCATACATGGATTTATAAAATTAGATGTTGCATATGGTTCAACTTGGCTGAAACCGTAACACATTCAGACCTGTCTGGAGTTTATCCAAGTACAGCAGTCCTCTTTCTCTCTGGTGTCAGTTACTCACGTCAGCCACAGTCTAAAAATATTGTGAATAAGAAGATATTTTTGAGAGCGAGACCACATTCAGTGACTTTCAGTATCTTGTTCTACTTTATTTGTAGTTATTGTTAATCTCTTACTGTGCCAAGCTTATAAATTAAACTCTATCATAGGTCTGTATGTATAGGAAAAAGCATCTCATATCTAGGGCTGGATATTGCTTGTGGTTTCAGGAACCCACTGGACATCTTGGAACATATCCCCCATGGATAAGAGGGGCATTGCAGTGTAGAATATAGTACTGAAAGATCTCCAGTAAGATGATAAATAGTATGGGACTGAGCCGAAGACATCAAAGGACTTGCCTGAGCCACAGTACAGCTTGATGGTGGCAGAGCTAGGAATGGGATTCAGTTTTTCTTGCTTCCATAAAAACTGTTCTTTCTAGTTCTTTTCAGTGGTTTCTAAAAGTAAACATGAATTCTCTCATCGCTTCCCTTAAAGTGAAACAAATTCAGAGCTGTGGAGCTGCCTCTGGGTTTCCGGTGAGGGTTAAGCTGAGTGGGAGGCTTGGGAAGGTGAGGGGGTCACTCCTGTTTGAGTTTAGTCCCTGTGATATGTGGGGTGAAATCTCTGATTGAGATGTTGAGTGACTGTGCTTGTGGGTTCAGATATTGCTGGGATTTGGCTGTTGGAGTGGAGAGCAGCCAGTGCTGGCTACCTGAGTCCACAGGCCCTTTAATGTTTGGATACAAATCATGCCTGTTTCTCATTGTGGCCTACTGTGTCTCAGATTCATGAACTCCTAGGGATTCTGAATAACTTTGGAAAAGCTAAGATAACTTTCTTCTCTTTTCATCGTAGGTGTTGCTGTGATTCACAAGCCCTTGTGACCCCAACTCTCACTGCCAGGAGGTGGAGGAAAGGAGGTGCTGTCTGTGACTCAGAACAGCACGACCCTGAGGCTGGATGCCCCTTGCTGCAAGAGCGGGCAGTGTGCACCAGAGCGAGAAGCACCCTCCTCCAACTTGGCAGAGTGGCGACTGGCTTGCAGACCGGTGCCCACCTCTTGTTCCCCCAAGGTGTTTTGGCCTCTGCCCTGAGCAATGCATTCATCATAGCTCTGGCCAGCATCTTTGGGATTTTTGTGTGTTTCTACAGGAACAACAGATAACCTGAACTGTGTGTGTGTGTGTGTGTGTGTGTGTGTGTGTGTGTGTGTGTCATAATGTTTCACTGAGTTGGGGTGTGTGTGTGTGTGACAGTTCTATTGGATTTCCTTACTACTGATCCTTCTGCTATGCTAAAAATCAAATCACAGAAATCTCTCTGGATTTGCCCCATGGGGGCCCCTGAGACTACTAAAGCTGTTTTCTGGAGGTCCAGTTGGACAGGGAGGGTCCAGAAATAACTGGCAAGAAGGGCAGTGCTCTGACCATGCCATGCCCTGGCCTGACTTCTAGCCCCATCTGCAGAGGAGCTGGGTGTTCTGGTGGCCACACCGGGCCCTTTGTGTGCTAGAACTAGCAACAGTTGGCTTCCCCAGCCCCTCCCGGTTCTCTTCCTTAGGCTTTCCGCCAGGAAGTAGGTGAACTGTCCAGTCTCCTGGCCACTGCTTGTTGATGTCATGCATTGCAGGTTTGGGAGATTTTGTCTCTTTAGCTGGGAAAACTAGCTCTTCAAAGAAGTCCTGAAAAACACACTGGAGAAAAAAAGATAGATATGAAAAGCAAAAACAACAAACCAAAGTGGTAAGGATTTAGTCCTTGCCCTAACAGTCTCAGAGAGGATCCTACTTCTGGGATTTCCTGGGATAAGAGAGTCCCCTTAATACTTGCTCTCCAGGCCTAGTTATTCACAGCCTCTCAAAAAGATGTTCATTTGGAGGGTAACCCAAACCCAAAGTCTTTCCTTGCATTGCCTGGGATCACATGTGGCTCAGGTGGACATGGGTGACTTTGAAGGAGTATATTGGCCAGGGCTGGCCCTGGCCTTGGCACTTTGTGACTCTGGTAAAGCCTGTCTGAAATCCTTGTCTTCTGCTCCTGTGCTCCCCCCGTTACAGTATCTGCAACCCCTCTCCAGCTTCCATATCACCCCCTCCTCCTTGCTTCTCCCATTGTGGAGGAGATGGTGGTAGGCCCTGGATGTGTGATCTCCCAGGGGTATGTGCTTTTTAAAAAAAGCTTGATGAGAACTGTATTAATACAGGAGGAATGATTAATGACAGAACTTCAAGCATCTGGAGGGAGAGGTGGCTATTTGAGGGCACATGGATTCTATTTGCATTTAAAAAAAAGAAACTTCAAGCAGTGCTGTTTCTAAGTTAGCCAGCTGCTTATGTGGGTGTTTTCAGCATAAGGAGGGGAAATCTTAAGTCTGGAGGACAGTCTCATACCTCAAGGGCTGGGGTTTAACCTTCTCTGATGTCAGGCTCTACTTACAGCGGACCAAGGGGCGTCATGAGTCCTGGTGCAACCAGCTACTTGTAGGTTGATGCTGCAGGCGAGTGGCATTCCCTCCACCTCGTCCCACTGTTAGGAACCCAAGAGCCTCTCCAGTATACACACGTGTACTTTGTGTATTTCCTGTATATTTATTGTGTGCACTAAACACGTTCCCCGAGATGAAACTTCTTCCGAAGTTGAGATGTTATTTCAGCAAGATATTTAGAGAACACCCAGAAATTTTAGTAGTTTTGGGAAAATACCCAGCTCTGGTGGACCTGGAAGGAAAGTCTCTGAAGGAATGAAGACACGCACGAATTTGGGGGCTGTGGTTTCCTCGGGCACTGGAGCTCTGCCTGACTCTGGATCCAAAGCCAATGGAATGAGCTTTTTGTTCCACATGTTCTTCCTCCCTCTCTGAAGAAGGTTCAGGACTTTATTGTGGTGTGTGTGGTGGGGAGGAGGTTAGGGGCTAGGGTCTGATGCATGCTCTTCACACAGCTCCTGATTTCACATGGGCCCTGGCGCAACACCTAGAAACTGGACTTCCATGCTTATGTGGGGAAGGCCCTTGATTGTGTGTCATCTTCCCAGAAAGGGGCCCTCCCCTGAAAGCTAGGGAGCCATGTGTTCTGCTTTTGGATTTTTGCCATTGGTTCCACCTTACGTCTCCCCTCCCAGGAAGCACTGCCCTGCTGGTGGTGCTGCTGAGGCCATGTTCATTTCATCCTCGTGCGTCCTTTCTCATGGGGACTAGAACACTGGTACGTCATCATCAAAAAGCCAATCTGCTCTAGCTGCCCACAGATGCCATCCCAAACCCGCTGTCTCTTTATTCCCAGGTACGATTCTCTCTTAATCATGTACACAGCAGACTTATTTTCAAGTCTGTGCCGGTCACATGGTTGGTGAACCCCTGCCCTGCCCCCCCCATCCTTCACCCCAAATTCATGTGGCCACAACTGCTTGTGAATGCAGCTTTGCCAGTGCTGTATCTGCAATCTGATCACAGTGATGAAATGGAATTGCAGCCCAAGGTTAGAAGCAGCTGAGACGCCACTTGGATACTGATTTGGATAACAAAGAAGTCAGACTCTGAATTCCAAAGTTATTTCTCCTAAGTAGCCAATGGCATCTCTCCATCTAAAAAGTTGCAGTATTATGCACATGAAAGTGACCTCATTTTCTGCTATGCAATAAGAATATTTAATTCTATTTCATGACAAACCAGTTGCAATATCCCCGAAGATGCTTTTTTGAGCTGTCTTACTTTGATATCTGTTGTGTAATGTTTGTATATTCCTGAGCCAGATCCTTTCAAAGATTGCCTTTTTATAAAATTGAAGCTATAGCTTTCAGGCTAAAATTTTAATGTAGATATTTTTATAAGATAATTTTTTCAGGATATTTGAATTGCTTTTTATTGTCCATGATAATGAAATGTTATGTTCTGTATGTTCATTCACTCTCAAATATAATTCATGCCTGTCGCTTTCTTCCCTTTGTTTTTCACCCTCTCCAAACTGATTTCCCACTAGTTCCAGGTAGACGAGTCCCTTTGACTTGGACTCTTTTTTCTTACACCATTTTCATGGGAGATTGCAGAAATAAAAAATACAAAAACACTTGAATTGCTTAGGGACTATCATTAAGTCTGACTCAGCACTTACCCATCTATATTGCCTGTCCACTTTGAGGGGGGTCTGCTTTCTGCAGGGGTGAGGCTGTCTGGACCCTCTCCTGGTGGCTCTCACTGCCTGGCAATGAGCCTGGCACGCAGAGTGTGGAGACGCCCAGAGGGGCCCTCCCTCCACTTCGTGCTCCCAGGACTTTCCTGGGTCCAGCAGACCAGTCCTCTATCCTTCGTCCCCTTGTTCTTCTGCAGCTTCTAACAGCTTAAGGCCTTTGGTGCCAGGGGATGTCCCTTTGGGGAGCATCTTTTCTCTCAGCTTCAAAAAAAGGGGTCACTCCTCATGAGCCCCATTCAGAATGTGTTAAGCCTTGCTTTGCATAAGCTCACACTGTACACTTAAAACTTATTTGTTTCTTGAGCTGTGTCTCCACTCCAGGCTCTGTTTTGTGTATCTGCCATCAGCCTTGTTTTGAAAAATTCTTTATTTTTATTATTGTTGGGACAGGTGCATTTTGACTTGCCTCCATGCTCCCCATTTGTACCTTGTTGGATCAAGTTGGGAGGCTGAGCAAACTCCTATTCCAGCTAGCTAGAGTTTTTAAGGCTCTGTCTGCCTAGAGGAGCAAGGGGGTTGGAATGTATTTTTTTAAGTGTTTGCACTATTTAAGAGTCCTAAGCCCCTCATGTTCAGCTGTGCTGTGTATCTACTGACAGAGCAGAAAAGCCGGCAACGCTTCTGACATTTGGGAATGGAAGAGGCTTCTTCCATAGTGGATAATCACAACCTTGTAGCCCCGTGTGGCCTTTGTCATGGGGCTCAGTGACTTGTGGATACGCATCATCCAAGGCAGAAACATGGGGACGGTGGTGTCTGGAGAAACAAATTCCCCACGTGTTATGTTCTTGCCCTTGGATAGGAGATTACAAATTATCCTCCCTCCCTTTCAGTGGCAATAAAGGACGTTTGTTGGACTTCTTGTTTAATTTGTGTATGATGTGTAAAATACTTTCTTTGGAAGAAAACTCAAGACACTGAATGTGCACGTCTGTGTGGGTGCGTGTCCATGTGGTTGTCCGTAGGCAGACAGACTTGATCACTGACAACCTGAGCAACACATTGCGTCGGTGAGGGCCTTCATGTCATGTTTTCTGCTTGGATGCCAGAGACTGGCTGACTTGTAAAATAACACTAGTCACATGCTCCGATCAGTTACAGTGCTGGCTGAAGAAACACTTCTTCAAATGTATTATTATAACAGGAATCGTGTTTCCATACTTTGTTACTTTAATTTTAATAAAAGCTCAACGTGAGGACTTTTCTCTGTATTTCATTTCTATTGCTTAGCGCTTCATGTCGCAGATATTGAAAAAAATATATTTATTCCTGTGTGTCTTCAGATTAAAAAATTTTTCTCCTTAAGATCGGCTGGATAGGGTCTGGGTTTCTTTGGTCTTTGAACTTGGCTCCAGTGTCGGGCCAGCCCACACGGAGTCCAGGGACCCAGAGGCCCAGAGAGGCCAGTCCCCGCGGTCAGTGTTTGGTGGTGCAGGCAGCTGCACACTGGTCGTGGTGAGGCAGGAGTGCTAGCTCGGCTTTGAGGTTCAGCTGTAAACACTTATTTTTGAGTTTATAAACCTAGATATTTCATAGGCATTTTGTTATGTTTTATTAAGTATATACATCCTAATTTCTTTATTAAATATATGCAACTATTAGATGTTTATAAAATATTAACATACATGAAGTAAAAATAACTAGCATTTATTACTATTACATGTAAGGCATTTTTCTAAGTGCTTTGCTTATACCAATACATTTAATCCTCACCATGGTCTTCCAAGTTTCTATTGTCTTCATTTTACAGATGAAGTCATGAGATACAGAGAGGTTAAGCAACTTGCCTAAGGTAGCAGTGCTGCAGAGGCATGGAGCCGGGATTTGATCGCACTACAGAGTCTGTGTCCTTAATCCTCTGTCACTACAGCCTGAGGAGGTGAGGAAGGGAAGGAGCTGGGGGAGGTGAGAAACATCAAGGTGAGAAGGCTCCCAGGAGGTGCTGAGAAGTGCGCATGTGGCTCAATGAACACTAGACCTGCTCCTCAGACCACAAGTGCCCCCTCTATGTTGATGGTACCAGTAATGCTTGTTTCTGTGATGGCAACAATTGCTGTGATTATGCACTTACTTGTGCCAGACTCCACTAAATCCTTTGTAATTTTGCCTTTCATCTGATGACAACCTCTGAGGAGGGGAGCAATTCCTATAGGAGCAATTTCCTATTGGCTGCCCAGCCTTGCCCCTTTCCAGACCCCTCCTCTTGAATCCCTTGAGTGTTCACTGGAGAAGTCTGGTCTGGAGAGTAAGCTGGCTGGTTAGACTGGGCTTTTTCCAAAGTGGGACTGGGGGCTTGGCTCAGCTGTGACTTCTCAAATCTACCTGCTCAGGGACCTGGGCTTCCGCTCTGGTTAACAAACTGGACTGTCCCAGGCCCCTGCAAGATGTCAGTGGCTCTGCCCTGTTCCTGGTGACAGAGAGGGTCTCAAGCCAGAGACCCAAGGAATGAGCGAGAGCCTTCGGGACAAATTTCCCCCCATTTGGAAAGGATATTTTGAGCTCCAAGAGGGCATGGCCTGCTTGGATTTGCATCCATTGTTCCTGGCACTCAGTGGGCATTCAGGAAATATTTATGGGAGAAGGAACAAAGGCATGTGAGGAGGGCTCAGGAGGTGTCTGCACTTTCTACTTCTCCCTGATGCCCTGGGTTGGCCTTGAACAGTGACCTTTGCTCTCACCCTCACACAGGTGAATAGATGGAAAGGCCTCGTGCTGCTCACCCTTTGCAGAATGATGAGGGTAGGCCACTTTGAATCCGAAACAACCCTCTAGACTGGCAGACAGGAATTTGTGTCTCCTGGGACAGAAGAGGCCCACAGATGTGAATTCATTTATCTGAGGGTGTTTCTGTAGTGAGCAGTGTTGTTGACCAGGTAGAACTGCCTAGCCCTTTTGACCCACAATTGAGTTCAGAGTCAGCCTGATTAGAGGATTCGGTTGCAGTTGTTTCAGTAATCACAGTAGCTAGCAGTGACTGTGTGTCTACAACGTGCCGGGCCCTGTGCTGAGCACATTAATCACACTTAATCCTCTGAACATCTCGTCGAGGTAGATGATGCCCAGTTCACGGATCACGGGAGTTAATCAACTGGCCCAAGGTCACACAGAATCTCTTGAGAAATAATGCAGGCCCCATTCTCCTATTGAGTCTGCGTGCTGGGTGAGCTGTGTCATCCTCCAATCCCAGTGTAATCTATGGGTACACTTGGCAGCTGGGAGGTCACCACTGGCCAACCCTCAAAAGCAGGCAGGAGCTGGCTGGACAATGTGGCCAATGAGAGGGAGCTGGGACAGGACAGACACACGGGCAAACGAGCTAGTTTGAGTATACACACCTTTCCCTCCCCTGGGCCCCACTGGCCCAGTTTCATCACACTTGGTGACATTTCTACCAACTTATTATTTTTTAATTTATTTTTTGTATCATTGTTCATTTTTGTACAGTATTTGATTTCTCCTCTCAGGTCTAGTCCTGATAGTTCTCCCACCACCACAGCACCCAGGATCCATCACCACAGTCCCCTGTGCTCTCCCCTCCCCTCCCCTTGCTGTATGACTCTCATCTACCATTGCATGGTTTTTTGTACTAAATGATTTAACATTTACAGATAGGGTCTTTTTTTTTTCCAAAGATTTATTTTATTTATACAAGAGCCAGGGTACAGGCCTGATGTGCAGGAGGGTGAGAGGATTCACCAGAGACAGAGTAGGGAAAAGAACAGGCAGACTGACGAAATACACTGCTGAGGGGAGCAGCGGGCAAGACAGGAGAGGTCCACTGCACCATGTGGGTTGCTCCGAGACTGGCAGGGATCGAACCGGACAGCTTCACAGCGCTGAGCTCAACCACCTGCGCCACCAGGGAGGCCCCATTTACAGATAGGGTCTTTTGATTCTAAGTAACTAGTCTATTAAAATAAAAAATCAGAATTGAAACTCTGCCTAGTGTGATTTTCACTGAGCAGTTTGCATTCCCCACTGGCCATCCCTTGCTGCCCGGGCAGCTTCCCCTGCAATGCTGCATGTCAGTCACCTCGGAAGGGGCATCTGGCCGGGACTGTAGACACTGTCAAATCCAGCTCTCACATTTGCAGATGGGCAGACTGGGGTCTAGGTTTTATTTTTTTTTTTTTTATTTTTAATTTTTTTAAAGGTTAATTCCTTTTTTTTTTTTTTTTTTTTAAAGAATTATTTATTTATTTATACAAGCACTGGGTACAGTCAGAAGCACGGGAGGGTGAGAGAATTCACCAGAGCCAGAGGGGAGAGCAGAGCAGGCAGACTGACGAAACATACTGCTGAGGGGAGCAGCAGGCGGCAGGAGAGGTCTGCGCACCATGTGGGACCCTTGCCCAGCAGCTGGGGATCGAACTGGCGTTGCAGAGGCTGCGGGCAGCTTCGCAATCCAGCGCTCAATCACTGCACCACTGGGGAGGCCTGGGGTCTAGGTTTTAGAAAGGCAGCTGGCTGTTGTTCATTGGCAGTTTCCAAGGGGCCTGTTAGTGCCCGAGGCGGAGCCAGGCCCCCCAGGAGGCCCGTGGAGGATGCAGGGTCCATGTCTGCCTATCTACATCTGAGGTTTCGCTGGAGCTGAGGAAAGGCAGTGACTACAGGTCTGGTCCCTCGGAGACTCCTGCTCTGTGGTCACTCCAGCCTGGAAAGCTGCTCTGTGCTCTAGCCTTCCATTGGCCTAGGGCAAAAGGTGGCCTGGTTCATGGTTGTGTGACCTGCAAGGCACTCCTCTCCCTCTTCGGAATCCAGGTCCTCGTCTGTAAGCCGAGGGCCCTATGTGCTGTGAGCATTTACTCTCCTTGCTAGGTCCTGTTCTTTTTTCTTTTCAAAGACACCTCGGTTCCACACAGGTCCTGTTCTTGCTGTCTCTTTTCTGGTAAGGAGATAACACTCAGAGAAGTCACACATGGGGTGTGAGATCTCAACTCATATCCCTGGCACTAATTTTTGACTACTATGCCGCATTTTATCTTTTTTCCCTCTTTTTTAAAATTTTAAATTTACTTAAATCATTGTTCATTTTTATACAATATTTGATTTCTTCCCTGTGGTTCTCCCACCACCGCAGCTCCCGTGACCCATCACCACAGTCCCTTGTGTTTCCTCCCCTGTTTTGACCCTTCTTCCTCCCCTTCCCCTGCTATATGCCTCTGCTCTGTGGTTCAGTTTGCACGTTTTGTCTTTTTCCTGATCCTTTGCTCAGTTTTGCTATATTGCTCAGGTTTGCACGTTTTGTCTTTTTCCTGATCCTTTGCTCAGTTTTGCTATATTGCTCAGGTTTGCTATATTCCATCTATAAGTGAAACCATCAAACATTTATCTTTTTCCTTCTGACTGATTTCACGTAGCATAATTCCTTCTAGCTCTATCCATGTTGTTGCAAATGGTGCCAAGTTTATCTTTTTTTTTTTTTTTTTTTTAATCTCTGAGGAGTATTCCATTGTATGTACACCACATCTTCTTCATCCAGTCATCTGTTTTGGGGCATTTGGGTTGTTTCCATAGCTTAGCTATTGTAAACAGTGCTGCAATAAACATAGGAGGGCATGTTTCCTTTTGCATTAGTGGTTTTTTGTGCTTTGGGTAGATTCCTAGGCATGGAATTCCTGGATAATAAGGTAGGTCCATTTTTAGTGTTTTGAGGGTCCTCCACACAGCTTTCCATAGTGGCTGGACTAGTCTGTACTCCCACCAGCAGGGTAAGAAGGTTACTTTTTCTCCACATCCTCACCATATTTGTTGTTTCTAGTTTTTAAAATATTGGCCATTCTCACAGATGTGAAGTAGTATTTCATCATGGTTTTGATTTGCATTTCCCTGAATGTTAGTGATGTTGAACCTTTCATATGCCTGTTGGCCATTTGAGTTTCTTCTTTAGAGAAGTGTCTTTTTAGCTCTCCTGCCCATTTGTTTTTTTATTTATTTGTTTGTTTTTTTTAAGATTTATTTATTTATGCATGCATGAACTGAGGTACAGGCCAGAGATGTGGAGGGTGAGAGGATTCACCAGATACAGTGGGAAACAGAACAGGAAGATTGACCAAAGTACACTGCTGAGGGGAGCAGCAGGAGAGATAGGAGAGGGCCGCTTTGCCATGTGGGTTGCTCCCTGCCTGGCCAGGGATCGAACTCATGCTGCAGAGGCTGCGGATTGCTTTGTAGTGTGGTGCTTAACCCCTTGC